CCCAATCACTGACTACCCATCACCGAATTTCTCCTCCTCCTCCCTGATACTCCCTTCAGTCCCTGAATTCCAATCTCCTCCTCCCCCAGTTTCTGATAACTGTCTTAGCAGAGATAAAAACTTAAGTGCCAGTTTTAAGTCTACTTCTCCGCCCTTTTGTCCCCCTCCATGTTCCATATTCTCATGTGAACTGAGACATTTGTCACTTGATTTTCTTTAGAGATGCATATTCTCGTCTCACTGAATGTGCCCTGCAGCTTATGTTTCAGTGGATGTTGGAACCTGTCTCATTTCTTTCTGATCATACCTCTCTCTTGTTTTGCTGACTTTAATGCTTGAGGGAGCTGTGAGTAATTGCTTACACTCCCAGTAACTCCTTGCTGAACTTGCATTCGGTATTATTGCTAGACCAGTGTTTTGCCTCTTTTATCACCTCAGGCCTCACTTCTGGAGATTCTCACTTGTCCATCGCAGGTAATATATAGCGGCCACTAACTATATCATCTGTCACCTCGCTGGCTTACTCCCTACATCTCAGCATTTCTTATTTTGTGAAGAAAATAGATAAAAATACAGTTCATTCTTTTCACACTTTCCTGTCTTAATTTCTACTAAACTGCAGATATATTCTGTCATGCTACGTATGCTTCCTCCTTTGTGCATCCGTATCATAGTCAGAGATGAATTGTACCGTATTCTATTTTAGCTTATTCTTTACCAGATTTGCAAACTTTTTAAAACTTGTGATTTATGTCCCGCTAGCAGAGCTTTATTTCCTCAGCTTCTGCCCTGTAATCCTAGCCAATGGTGTTGTCTTTCACCTGAATTCTCAACAAAGCCTCTAGTTCAAGCCATGTCTAATAATAAGATTGATTCGGATTGTGAACAAGGTGTTCTGTGCGTTTTATGTTGCAGCTACACGTTTCTGTCCGGTTTATCTCCTCAACGTAGTTGTGTGGATTTTGGCTCAATCTGATGAAAGGCTGAGAGTCCCTTGTCTTGTTGGGAAATATCTTTGTTTCCCCCTGTATAGGAACATGTGATGATGGAAACATTCATATTGCAAGAGTGCTGTAATATTGTGAAAATATTTGATTACTTAACTTGATAGTTGCACCAAATTCCTGTAACTGCAGAAGTCCCATTCCCCAGAATTAACATGGTCAACTTGATCAGTTTAAAGTTTACATAAGAGTTCTATTAATTGCAATCTTTCCCTCTAGTTTATGTACCGAAACTCTGAGCTTTATCCTTGTGGGTTATTCAGAAGCTGTGATGCATTTCTTTTGTCACCTGATCCTCCTGTGTGTTGTTCAGAGCTGGAACTGTCCTTCTGAGATCAGTTTTATTGGTATTGGCATTGGCATTAGCACAGAGAGCAATCACCTCAATGGGATACTACACAAACTATTCTTGAAAACTGCTCCTTTTAAATTCGTTGCTGATAGGACCTATCTGGATTTGATTTTTTTTCTGGCATTTGGTCCAAGCCCGTCCCTGTGAATGGCCATGGGGAGGAGCTAACACCGAACTTTGTGGTTCGCTGAGAGACTTCCAGTGAGTGAAACACTTGTTTGAAAATTAAGCAGCAGCCTTGCTGGAACGCTGCCTGTGAGCTGCTCCACAGAACCACAATGAGGTATCTTTGTGTACAGTGAAGCAGATCAAAACAGGAAAGTTGCTGCATGCTAATGGGAGGTGAGATCTCCTTGCTTTCGGTGTGAACTTGTTTCGTCTAGGAATCCCAACGGAACATTAAAAGAAATTGCTTCCAGAAAAGAAATTCTCTTTGGTTTGTCATTCGGATTCTGAGAGAGTGTTGGGGAATTCTCAAACTGTTGTTACAGACTCGGTGAGCTATTGATTCTGAGCTTTTCTTAGTTAAAACAGCTTTTTGCTTGAAAATGTTTGCATTCTATTTCAGTGCAGAGAACTCAAATGCACACTCACAGTACATGCGATTTACTGCTTGTTTTCTTAACGCTTAATAAATGTGTAGCGATGACAGAAGCATACCTCTAAATTGTTAAATATTTAAATTGAACGTTTGAGATGAAGGGAGTATGGCCCTCCCATTTCAATCATGAAATGTAAAGCCCTCCACATTTCAATTGAAGACCATTCCAAAAATTGAGACAATGGAGCTTTTTAATCCCTTGAGTGATTTTATTTTGTGTGCAATGCTTGTTGTGGAATGGTGCACTATACTGTCTCAGTTGTCAGGTTGGTCAGAGGGTTTTTTGATTGGTGCTAGTTGGATCAGGAGACTGAATGGTGCCAGAAAATCAGGCTCAGTGGGTGGGAATGGAACCTCAAAAGCATCTGGTAAAAATGGGCAAAGAATCTTGACATTGGGAGTCTAGCACAACCTAAATCGCTTAGTGATATCAGGATGTGAACTCAGAGCCTACAAAAGTTTGGAATAATTCTCTTCAGAACACAGAAGGTTGAGGGAGTATTTTAAGGCAAATCAGGAGGAAGAACAGTGTGGGTAACCAGTGGATACAAATTTAAGGTGATTGACTGAGGAACCAGAGGGAGATGAGAATGAGCAGCAAGTTGTCATGATCTGGAATGTGCTGCCTCGAAGGACAGTGGAAGTTGATCGAAGAATAACTTTTAAAAGTGAATGGGATGAATCCTTGAGAAGGAAAGCATTTGGAAGGATTCGAGGGAAGCGTGTTATGTGACTAAATGGATAGCTCTTTCAGAGAGATGACATAGGCACAATGGATTGAATCGCCACTTGTGTAATAAATTCCATCGTCCAGTTGTTGAAGCTTTTTTCAAATGATATACTATTCTGAATCGTGAGAGAAACAACTGTAACTTGTATTCATTTAGTGTCTTTAACCTAATTAAACGCTTCAAGACATTTCACAAGAGCATGACGAAACAAGATATGCCACCATGCCACATGGGATGTTAGAACCCAGACACTAAAAGCTTGGTCAAAGAGGTAGGTTTTGATCAAACAGTGAGAGATCCTGTTCTAGGTTTCTATTGTGCAGTGTATTAAACATTCTGACTGCACAAAGTCAAATGTAATGGATATTCCCTCCCACATGACTTAAGAACCTCTTCAATGATTCAGTGTCACAGTAAATCATTTTGTACCAGAGGCACTGACAAATCTGTTATTGGTTTGCGGGAGCAGTTTGAAGAACACTGAGCATTTTCAAGAATTGGCGAAGTAGGTAATTTGATAGCAACAGGATCTAAGTAAACAGCTTGCATGTTGCTGTGTTAAAATGTTGTTCCTTTTCTTCCCTCAACTCTGCCCCAGTACAAGAACTCTACACTTCTACTGTTCCTGAAATGTGAGGTATATCTAGTTAGTTAGTGTATGTGCGCACTTCCTGATTGGGTTAGATGATATTCCAGTGGGGATTCTTTCTAGATTGGTGTTTTTGCTTTTATATTCTGGTCAATCACTTGCTTTGAGCCACAGAACTAAAGGTTCAGTATCTGAATGTACTTAGCATTCGTAACAATACAGATAAAGTGACAGCCTAAACAGAAAAAAATATTGTATAATCAGAACACCATCACAGGGAGCATTACAGAGAGATGGCCGAAAATTCAAGGAACCTTCTTGAATTACCTACCGATGAATGAAAATGAATGGTTCCACTAACAACTTTCTAAAAATTGTGTGTAGTATGCACCACCATCCCAAAGTAACTGTCTACTGGGAAGGTTGAATACTTTTCAAGTATTGAGTGTTTAGGGAAAACAATCTCCATTTCCTTTTGTCCTTTCGAACTAGATTCTGCCAAAGCCATGTAATGATGTGTGTTATGTAATGCCTAAAAACAAGCAAGGAAGACTTGCATTTCTGTAGCATTCTTTATGATCTCAGGACATCACAAAGCCCTTCATGTTCAATCAAGTAGTTAAAATAATGTCACTGTTGCCAGGTAGGAAATGTGACAGTGCACAGCAAGCTCCCTCAAAAAGCAATCATGTAATCCCCAACCAGTCTTGATTTTGTTACATTTGTTCAGGGCTAGATATTATTCAGAAACTATGGAGAATTCCTTTCTGTCCTTAAAAATCATGCCACAGGATATTTATGTCCACTTAAGAGAAAAGAAATCTTGGTTTAATGTCTCACCTGAGAGTTGGCTCCTCTGACTGACCAGTACTTTAATATTGCAGTGAAGCTTCAGTTTTCTGGAGAAACAAATGACTATCTGACTGAGAGGTGAGACTGTACCTACTGGTGTGGAGGTGCCGGTGTTGGACTGGGGTGGACAAGGTCAGAAATCACGCAACACCAGGTTATAATCCAGCAGGTTTATTTCAAATCACAAGCTTTCAGAGTGCTGCTCCTTTGTCAGGTGAAGCAAAGAAAAGCACGCAGGCACAGAATTTATAGGCAGACAGATCAAAAGATCATATAAATAGTGTGTGTGGAGTGTCGACATAATAAGCCTCTGTAGGTGATCAAAAGTGTCAGACATGTGAGTAGAGTGTTAACAGCTGAATAGCAAGTGAAGGGATGACCTATAATCCGATTAATTGAGGCAGAGAGATAATTACAAAAAATTAAAAATAAGGTGGTGCTGGAGACAAACCAAACAGCTGGAATAATATGATAGGCGTAAGAGTTGCATGACGAGGGTCTAACCAAAGTAACAAGTAATCCAAAACTGTACGAACTAATTAAGGTAGAGAGATCATAACAAGTTATCAAGATGATGCTGTCAAAACAGGATAGTAAGGAAGATTTTACAGATACAGAACAGTATTACATGTAGCGCGACATAAACCAGATCATGGTTAAGGGCATCATCATGAGTATGGAACTTGGCTATCAGACTCTGCTCCATGATTCTGCATTGCTGTGTATCTTGAAGGCCACATTGGAGGACGCTTACCCGAAGGTCAGAGGCTGAATGTCCTTGACCACTGAAGTGTTCCACGAATGGGAGGGAACATTCCTGTCTGGCGAATGTTTGCGCAGTGTCCATTCTTCCGTTGTCGTAGCATCTGCATGGTCTCGCTAATATACCATGTCTCGGGGCATCCTTGCCTGCAGCGTATAAGATAGACAACATTGGCCGAGTCACATGAGTATCTGCCGTGCACATGGTGGGTGGTGTTCCCGCGTGTGATAGTAGTGTCCATGTCGATGATCTGACATGTCTTGCAGAGGTTGCTTTGGCAGGGTTGTGTGGTGTTGTGGTCAATGTTGTCCTGAAGGCTGGGTAGTTTGCTGTGAACGATGGTCTGTTTAAGGTGTGACGGTTGTTTGAAGGTGGGAATTGGGGGTGTAGAGATGATCTTAGCGAGATGTTCGTCATCATTGATGACGTTGAAGGTTGCTAAGAAATTGGTGTACTTTCTCTGCTCTAGGGAAGTACTGGACGACAAAGGGTACCTTATCAGACGTATCTCGTGTCTGTCTTCTGATGAGGTCATTGCAGTTTTTCGCTGTGGCATGTCGGAACTGGCGATTGATGAGTTAAGCATCATATCCTATTCTTATGAAGGCAACTTTCAACATCTTTAGGCGTCCTTTGCATTTCTGCTCATCTGAACAGATCCTGTGTATATGCAGAGCTTGTCTGTAGGGGATGGCTTCTTTAACATGTTTAGAGTGGAAGTTAGAGGAGTGCAGCATAGTGAGGTTATCTGTGGGCTTGTGGTAGAGTGAGGTACTGAGGTGTCTGTCCTTGATAGAGATGTGTGTGTCCAAGAACGAGACTGCTTCTGAAGAGTAATCCATGGTAAGTCTGATGGTGGGATGAAACTTGTTGATATTGTGTGTAGTCGTTTCAGTGATTCCTTGTACCCACAGACCAGTTGAACTAGGAACGTTCCTTGTCATAATGGACATTTTGGTACTCTACACCAGCATCCCCCACAACAACAGCATCACTGTAACAGCCTCAGTACTCGACACCAACAACTGACCATTTCTAGACGCCATCCTACAACTCATCCACTTCATCCTCAACCACAACGTCTTCACCTTTGACAACCAGCTGTTTATCCAGACACACAGAACAGCCATGGGGACCAAATTTACACCACAATACTCCAACATTTTCATGCACAAGTTCGAGCAAGACTTCTTTACTGCACAGGACCTCCAACCAATGCTATACACCAGATACATCAACGACAATTTCTTCCTCTGGACTCGTGGAGAGGAATCACTGAAATGACTACACAATGATTCTGCCTAAACATGTTAAAGAAGCCATCCCGTATGGACAAGCCCCACGCATACACAGGATCTGCTCAGACAAGGAGTAACGCGATGGATACCTAAAGATGTTGAAAGACGCTCTCGTAAGAACAGGATACTACGCCCAACTCATCAGTTGCTGGTCCTGATGTGCCACAGCGAAAAACCGCAACCACATCCTCAGAAGACAGACACAGGACACGACTGATAGAGTACCCTTGCTCGTCCAGTACTTCCCCAGAGCAGAGAAACTACACCATGTTCTTCACAGCCTTCATCATATCATCAATGATGATGAACATCTCGCCAAGGTCATCTCTAGGCCTCCACTTCTCACCTTCAGACAACCACCAGACCTTAAACAAACCATCATTTGTAGCAAACTACCCAGCCTTCAGGCCAACATCAACTAACACCGCACAACCCTGCCACATTAACCTCTGCAAGATATGTCAGATTGTCAACATAGACGCTACTATCACACATGGGAACACCACCCACCATGTACACGGCAGATACTTATGTGACTCAGCCAATGTTGTTTACCTCATATGCTGCAGGCAGGGATGCCCTGAGGCATGGTATATAGGTGAGACCATGCAGATGCTACGACAACGGATGAATGGAACAATTGCCAGGCCGGAATGTTCCCT